AAAAAACAACACCTGAAGGAGTGTTGTAATATCTTGTGCCTAACAAGGGGGTGCATTCCTACAGGTGAATTTCGTGGCCCTCTTTCACTATAATGTAATTTCACATTCCTCTCCCAATGTCAGCCTCCAACAGATCCCTCAATACCTGTGTCTGATGCCAAGGGTGAGAGAGGAAGGGCATTATCCAGAAAAGTTGGATGTGCTCATTGCAATTCACCTTGTCTTTCAATACCTTTAAGTCCAATTTCCCTTAAAAGCCCACTCTCCCCTAAATGAGTAGCTCTCCTATCAACCCTCGCGTATCTTAATTTTTTAAATTAAAGTATACATAAAATGCATATGCTTTAAGCGTACAGTGTTGCGAAGATTTACAAAGTGAACATGCTTGTTTAAACACCAACCTGCTCAGGATAAGGGACATTGCCGGTACCCAGAAACCTTCAAGCCCCCTCCAGTTGTTACTTCACTGGGAACCCCTCCTCTGACTTGCATCACCATAATAGGTTTTGGCTGAGTTATTATAGATGGCATAGTATTTTATTGTTGGAAGTTTGGGCTCCCCTTGAGAGAGAGTTTATCTGGGAGATGATTCCAGGAAACTAGTGAGGAAGTGAGAAGAGTCAGACAGTTAACACTTTAAGCGCCAAGCCTGTTTTATATTCCTTTCTGTTTAGCCCGCGATATCCCATTTCACCGATATGCTGAAGGCACCAGTGACTGACCGGTCCGGACGGAAAGTATAGTGTCAGTCACCGGTGGCTGACATGGCACTTAATGTGTTAAGGAAGAAAAACCAATATAAGGGTTTGTTCTTGAGATTGGATACATAATGCTTATCTACTGGCTCCTGTTCCCCGTTGAGGGATGCCACAAGGAGGTTAATTTCCCTGCAATTCTGGGCTGTAACTGATCTTAGATTCCAGCATTATTGAAAGACATTTAGATTGTTTTCAGTTTGGGATAATACTTCTGTGAACATTCTTGTACATGGCTTTTAGTTATGAGAACACATGTACACATTTCTTTTAGTTATATAAACAGATGGAATTGTTGGGTATGTGTATATTCAAGTTTAATAGATATTGCCAAACATTATCTAAAAGTGACTGTACTAATGTATATTTTCACTAGCTGTAAATGAAATTTTAAGTTGTTCCACATCCTTTCCAGCATTTGATATTGTCAGTCTTTTTAATTTTAGGTTTTTTAATGGGTATGCAGTGGTATCTCATTTTGTGTTTATTTCCTTTTGGGTAAGCTTTTTGCAGCATAATTTAGATACAGAAAAGTACATAAATCATGTGTACTGCTGTTACTTTTCATACACTGAACACACAGCAGCAAGAAATCAAGCATTGGAAGATCAGTAGCACTACCGAAGTCCAATGCATGTGTGCCCTCTTCCCACCACTATACCACCATCCCAACAACATCCACTATCCTGATATTGTAGATTCGTCTGGCCTGCTTTTGAACTTCAAATAAATGGGATAATATGTAGGGATTTTTTTTTGT